GTAGACGACTTTGAGAAGGTTTACATACTTCCCAGGCACATTAGTTCCTAACAGATAAGTTCAGAGAGCTGCTCTGTCAACTGAGTCAAACGCAGCAGGTACCTCCAGAATTACGACGCTAGTCAGTCTTTTGAAAGTTTGATGTTGCTCGAGGATCTGGAGTAGCGTAAATATTTGATTAATGCAGCTCCGGTCAGGGCGGAGTCCGGCTTGTTCTTCGAGGATACGACGCTCTCTCGTCCAACTGAGCCTGCGAAGGATCAGTGACGTTAACATCTTTAATGCAACGGAGATGAAACTAACCCATCGGTGATTAGAGCAATCGTAGCTGGGGCCCTTCTTGAAAACAGGTGCGACGTCAGCCAAACTCCATTTGGATGGAATGGATTCAGTATTCCAGATGGTTTAGAATAAGGAAGTTAGTTCTCGGGCAAATCTTGCGCCAACGTCTTTGAAAAGGGTTGGAGAGAGCTCATTTGGGCCGGGCGATTTATGGTGTTTCAGAAGTTTGAGCTCTCTTGAGACTTCTTCCTCTATAGGCGATGAAGTGTCCACAGACCATGGAGCACTACAGACATCGGGAGATAGGCTGATGATGTCGATGGCCAACTGAATTGTTGAGGTGCTCCGCTCAGCGCCCAGGCCGACTTTGTAGATTGTGGATACATTCGCCATTGACAAAGTATTGAAAATCGGTTCTCGCCATTAGTTTCGCATATGGTTTCACTGAAGCATGGTGTTTTGTTACCAGTGGCTCGGATTAGTCGACAAAGTTTGTGAGCATTACCGGAAGCAGAGGCTAGTTCCATCTCGGAAGCGCGTTGTGCCCACCAGGTCTCTTCATCCTCTTTTCAGATCATTGCTAAGAGTCCTGCGAACTGTGTTGTCTTTATTACCTTTTTCCGTCGAGCGTCCAGGAGTTCTAGAGAACGTGCCGAAGCCCAGTGATTGGCTGTGCGTTTGGTAGAGCCACATGATGTGGTGGCGGACTTATGCATGGCCTTACGGATGAGTCCACTGGTTATCAACGTTCGAGGATGACAGACTGTCTAGATCAGCAGCTAACGTGTTTTGGTAGGCGGGAACTACGTTTGGGTCGGTTAGTTTCATAAAATTAAGTCTTCTTGAGTGACGTTTTTGTTTTCCACAGAAGCGCAGAGAGAACTTTGGGCACACGAGTACATGATCAGAGCTGTGATATGTGCTCCAGATGGATTTTCAGTCCGTTATGCAATTTCTCCATCGATAGATGATGACAGTATGATCCATTTGAGTCCAGAGCTAACAAGACGATGGTGGTCACCAGGTAGCACATTGGCGCCATGGTTGGCAAAAATTGGTGCTCGAAAGGAAAAGACCGTGTTCAGCGCAGACTTACAAGAGATGGTCGCCGTTGTCAGTTCCCGTAACACCAAGTGAGTTTTCGTCGGCGTTTAACCTACCTACTTGTGCGCTCAAGTATCACAATGCTACGATGTGTGGTCTATTACGGAGGAGGTTGGTAAGCTGAGGGTAGAACTCGTCTTTTTTGTGTGGAGACTGCAGTCCGTTGGCGCATAAGCTATGTTGACGAACAGACAGAGCTTTTTAGTCCCATTACGAGATGCACTTACTGATCCATTTAGACGGATGGCGCAGAGTTGACTAGTGATTAGATTCAAGTCGAGTAAAACTGTTTATCCACGTGCACTCAGTGCTATACCTAAGCCAGCCTGACCAGCGGCCTCTGCCATCGGATCTCCGGAGAGGTGGGGGGTGAATGAGCTTGCAGAATCTGGATACGCTGGAGCTAGTTGCGGTACGGTGCTCGAATCTTGTAGGTGTCTCTCAGTAAGGCAGCAACCGTCCATACTAAGCGCTTCCAGTGTGCGAGTGAGTGTTGCCTGAGCCCCAACTTGTATAAGCGTTAGAACGTTGAAAGTCGCTAACTTAAGGTGCTACCGGGGCACGAGTACTATTTTCGGAATAGCCTGAACGGATACTTTTTTCTTACGCACTGGCACAAAACGATGGTTTCTGCTGTTGTCTTGGGTGACACAGTGTTGGAGCCTCTAAACAATGGGTGGTGAACCCAGATTAGGAAAGCTCAACAATTGAGGAAGGGAAAGAATGTGATCTGTTGGTGTGGTAACGAGGAAATCTGTGGAGCCGACCGCCACCTCAGTCAAAGAATGCATAGTTCGTGAGAGCGAAAATGTTAGAAATATATGGTGTGTCTTCATAGGTTGTGTGGGCATGTTACTTCTCAGTTGCCCTGGCTGAAGAAGGGGGATGACCTCGGGGTCCCCACCTTTGACTAGAAAGCCTGACCTACAAGACAATAGGACGGAGCTCAGAGTCCGCACTTTATTGGGGGCTGGTGTCCAGTTCATCGGGTAATACGCCCTTCCTAGGTGCCTAATACACCTTGATGCTCAATCGATCTGGTGACCCTTATCACAACCACAAAGGTTTGAGTGGTTCGTACGCCTCATATAGGGGCGTTTCGGGAGGTGCAAGGGGGAGGGAGTGACCAGACACAACCCTAGACACCCACCCCCGACCATACTAAGGCTTTCGGAGGACGTGTTTAATTTTCAAATGGGATTAGCTATTTTGAACTCTATATGTTTACTGTATTCCTCAACATGAATAAATCGGATGGCGCAATGATAAGCCTCGAGAAGTCACTCTCAAACTAGAATTGACCAAGGTTCTGTGATCAGATCGAACACGGTTTAGTTTGGTTCACACGAATGCACCTTCTTTGCTCTTGGATTTCATCTCGATGAACAGCTTTTTGAATCCTCGTTTGAAACCCAATGACACTAAATCAACCAGAAGCATCGGACAGTGAGTTTGCAGTTGTTGAAAGTTATTAGCAGTATTTTTAGGTGACTTACAAGGCGAAAACACGCCTGCCGAAGTGAGATACGCAAACTAGCCGGTGCAAATGTCATTTTGGTTGAGGGGTGGGGTGGGAGTGGATTGTCTCGCTTCGTGACCGCTCACCCTTCTATTGTGCCTCGCCAAATGCCCCTATACTAACGTGTGTCTCAAATGGTCTCTGCTGAAGAAGAAGTAGAGGAATTTTGCCACCAAGGTGACACAACAAATAGCCAACATCCAAGGCTTCCACCAAACACACACCTTCCTGGTTGTGATAATGGTCACCGATCGATCTAATGGAGTGTGCGGACGTTCAATGCTGCTTCGGTGGAAAGATAAGCTTTATTAGGTGTGATACCTTAAATTATAGACTTTCGAAACCACTAAACTAAGACTAGATCAACGATAATTTTTCACCTTCACCTTATTCAGTTCAGTTCAGTTCTTAACCATTAACCATGCACTTTCGTGCGCCAATTTTGGTTGCCCAATTGAATAAAACAGCGGAATGATGATTAGAAGGTTGCGAGCAGATTCAAGCGGAAGATAGCACGTTTTCATAGACTGAGGTTACAAGAATAATGAGTAGATACATGAGCACCACTGTTTGCGACACCCAGCCATATCACTCAGTGTCTCTAACCATCGGTGACCATGATCTCGGGGTCCCTGGCAAGGGAGCCTAACGGGACCTATGTGAGCCAGTCTCCCGGTCAGGGTTTTCATACCCTCATGCCAGGTCTTAGCTTGATCGCTCTTCGTTTTTTTCCAGCCACTACCTCGTTCGATTCTACTACTGCCTCCGATTGTAATCGCGAAATGAAGTCTTGAGGTTTCCTCTTCTAGTGCCTTGTGTCTGATTTATCAACAAAGAATCCCTTTGTTCAATATCAGTCGCACACCCACGTTGGCTGTTCTTCTGTCAATGGTCTAGCAAACACAATGTGCATTGCTTTCGTTATCATTGTTTCTCTGATGATCGGTGTTTCTGTTTTTGGTGAATAAATTACACATCTATTTTACTTCAAATTAATCCGATACCCATCAGTTTTACCATGTTAACTCTTGAGATGCATTCGTTCCTATTTTTTTGTTGAATCCGGCTTGCTTGTTCCGGTGAGTAATGGTGTACTCCAAGGATCATGAAACTTTAGTTTGCCGCAGCGATCGTAGAACGTGCAATTGACAAAGGTTCTCATGAATGCTTTTCCCATTTGTTGTCTTCACTCTCGTTCCAAATAAGTTTGGGATAGACTGGCAAGCAACAGTGTTTTTAGGCACTAGAAACTTTTCGATTGGGTTCGTGTTATCCGAATAACACGATGATGAGTGTGGTTGATGAGTGAAACCAAAATATTCGTTTTAATCGCAATTAGATAAACTAATATCGTTCGGTTTTACTGCGAGGATTGAGGGATTCCTTTACTGCATAGTAAAACATCTGGCACTATTGGATGCGCGTAGACTAGAACATACTGCTTCTATCCCGACTGAATCGTGATCTGATGTCCATGTCGGTTTTATTTCTTGGGAAATTCTGTTTTCTCGCTTATTTTCTGCTTCTCAGATTCTCCGTCATTTTGCTGGTCGCAGTCAGTATTCTTTGGGTTCCCGTTATTGAACGTCTCCAGGGTGGTCAGCTATATTTGTATATCCAGGGTGTTGCTGCTTGTCTGGCACCACCGATTGCTGCTGTCTATTTGTTAGCCGTACTGTGGAAACGGTGTTCAGAACCCGTAAGTTCTATGTGGATTATTTCACTGTTGCATTTGATCATAAACATTCCTTCAATTTGGGACCAATTTCAGTTTTCCGGATTTACTTTTATCAAATTTGCTGATATATTTATGTAGGGTAAATTTAGGGGAAAGATTCGTGGAAAACCGAGCTTGCTTCGAAACGTTTTTTAGGATCGAAAACGGAATATTATGTAATCAGATTCGGATCACTTCTGCTGTGGTCAATGTGCGACTCCAATCCCTACAGAAAATAGAAGTTCATGGGGAGGAACACGGGCACAGGTTTATCCACAATCACAAGTCAAATGCAAGCCAAATATCTTTCGTTATTTATCCATTTCCCTCAGTGTGATCTTGTCCTCGATACACACGAAAGTGATTGGTCGATAACAACCTCGAATGAGAAGCGATGAGAATTCCATCGGCTGCGCCTAAGTATAAAATGATTGATTGACTGCTTGGTCGCGCGTGTTCACGCCCGTTCTTCGTTTAACACATTTGAAAACATCGCTAAATGCAGGAAAATAAACACAACCTGCTTCCTCTACACTGGTACACGGCAAACTTTGTAGACATTCGGAGTGTCTGTTTTGAAGTTGTATTCATTTTTTTTAAATTTAGATTGCATCACTCGTTGATGACCCAACAATAAGCTGTTTATTTTCATTTCCCCGTGTTTATGGTCGATTTACCCGATAGATTGTTTTGACCGTGCTGCTTACCCTCACATGTTTGCCATCTTGTGCTGGTATGTCAAAATCGTGATTCATTCCATCTACACAAGCAACGACCTACTGGAATTTATTGGATTTATCATTTTGAATTTTTGGTCTTGTGTGCTGCAGTGGTATGCGAAAGAAATAGACGTGGTCAAATATCATGATTACTAAATTGATTGCTAAGCCTACTGACCTACCGAGGTTCGAAATAACCCATGGAAAGCACTGAATAACACACTATCTGCAAAGTGAGATTGAGCTCTGGTAGGTAGCACAAAGTCAGTTTAGCAGGTCCAGATTTCTAATTTTCTCTGGAGCAGTACGAGAAAAGGTTCGCGCGCTTGAGGTTGCGAAACCGTAAAGTTTATACATCAAACAGACAGTTAAGTCTCCATTCAACGGTGGCGATGCAACCAAACGGCTGTCCTCAGTTCAGTTTCGTGACCGCAGATCCATGCGGTGAGCTGTGCTCGTCATCCACACACACTGTCTGTCTGCGTACTGTGCAAAACCGGGTCTGACAACTCAGATCGCTTATGTGCCCGCGGGATGCGTGCGCTTCACATTTATAGTGCGTGATTACGCTCAATGTACTGTATAAAATAGTGCTTTTGTGTTTCTGTCCACGCTAATTCATTATCGCGCGATGTTGATGGTGCAAATTTGTGATGGGATGGTAGCATTCGCATTGAGTCGAACTCTACTGCGAGATCATAGTACTGCACCCACCCCCACCCCCACCCCCACCCCAGATTGGAATCAGTACTCAGTAGAGAATTCAGCTGTGGTTCAGTTGCACTTTTAGCCTGCTGAACGGCCTTACACTT